ACTCGTGGCGCCATTCCTCGCGCTACTGCTCAAGCAAACGCTCTAAGACCACTGGAAGCTGGAGGGCGTCGGGGTACGGGGGTAATGATCAAAGCAGAGACTCACTTTCTTCCGGATGCTTGACGGTGGAGAAGCATCCGTCCGCGGACAGGTAGAGTAGGAGCGCGCCGTTCGCCGGCAGCTCCTTGAAGCCGCTCGCGAGGAACACCTGCACCTGGCTGTAGGTGGGCTTATACAGCAGGTACTTGTGCGGATTGTCGCGTCTCGCCGCGCCGTTCTCCGCGCCCGGGTACGGGCCGGGCCTGAACGGCATCCGTCCCGCGGGCGACGCGTCGTGCAGGTGGTTAGGGTCGTCCCTGGGCTCCCTTTCGAGCGTCTGCAGCATCCTGAACATGTCCATCGAGAGCTCGCTGAACTTGACCTGGTCGGCGCAGTTGCCGACGATCAGGATCTCCTGCAGCGATAGGCACATGGGTGGCGTACGTTCGACGGGCGGCGAGGTCTGCGGGCCGAGCCTGTGGGTAGCCATGGGATTCAATATGTACTTTCGAACGGTCAAGTCGAATTCAATGTATGGGGGTCTTGTTCGGTGGCCTCCGAACGCTGATCAGAAATAAAAGTGTTTTATTTGATCAGAGTTAACCCCTTGCCCTGTAATATCGCGCTGGACTCGCGATGAAAAGTTTAAGTTGAATTCGACAGATCTGAATGTCATTTGTGTACCTTTTTCGGAGAAGATATTGAACATTAGTTTTCCGTTACCGATCGTTAACCTTTGAAGGAAAATGCTCTTTTCCTAGTCAATTGTTAAGGGCTAAGCTTTCGACAGAAATCATTGGGCAAGGGGTTAATCGAGTGCTAACCGGAAAGCAAAATGTCTCAATAATCAAGGGTACTTTCGACAACTACTTTAGGCTAGACTCGAATGCAATGTTTACTCGTGAATCCGTGAATTTCAGTGAGTCCGCGAAGAAAAAGGTTCGAGGCGTGAAGCAATTCACTTAAATATTCAAAAATTAGAAGTTTCGGATGCCTGAGTCAACATAGACCCAGGCAACGGTTGGTGCTCCAAAAATTAATAGACTTCAACTTTAAATACCTATAAGAACATTATCAGAAACAGACGCTGGAAAGAATTATCCCATTCCTACCTGTGGGTCAGTATCACCGGGTTCGAATCCGTGTGCATCACACCGACCGCCGACTCGGCCTTGACGAACGCCTTGATCTCGTCCAGGACCAGGTTCCACTCGAGCTGATCATCCGGCTCGTAGGTGCTCGTGTAGTCGACGATCTGCGCGTCGAGCTCCTGCACCAGCTCCCGCACGAGCTTCATCCGGTTGAGCAGCAGACAGACCACGATGAACCGGGCGTAGTACCTGAGCTTCTTCACCATCAGGTCGCTACGGTCTTCCTTCGCGGCGCGGCTATAGTACGCGCGGCCCCGTATCGCCGCGTAGAACGAGTAGGCCTCGTGCAGGTAGCTGGTCTCGCTGGTGCGCAGGTAGTAGTGGTAGTAAAGTTGGCCGATCTTGCTCGCTATCTCGCCGATCTGCCATCTCTTCAGGCCGTACTTCGTGTCCAGTATCGTCCTGCGGAGAAAGTGGGGTAATGCCGGTGTCAGGGCGATTTTGATATTTTGAACACGCGGCCACGGCTTCTGAATAGGGATGGGAATTAATCGATACGCAATATAAATGATAACTAGACACGGTGGGGTCTCGGGATGTTTTAGAAGTAACGATATCTGTTTTGTTTCCTTCTTTAGTTTTCCTTTTTGATCATTTTCCAGAGAGGACATTGCTGCAGAGTTTTGTGTGATTAGCACGTTGACTGCTACGGCGGTCACTGATGACCGGAGCTTCAAAATTATAAGAATATAATTATAACTTGTTACATAACTGATGTCGAATATGAATGTTCGGTAGCCTAAATACTAGATAATAGTGTAACGTAAGAATTGTGTTACCAAATAGTTAATAATTGTTCCTTGTTACTTCTGCAAAGAAAAGAATAAGTGATATATGAAATATTATTGTTTCTCATGGCAGTCGATGGGAACCAATTTGTAGGAGTGGAATGAAATTTTTATAGAATTAGTAATGTTCTGATGAATATTTGAATAGGGCGAAGACAATTTGCTTTCAACTAATTATATTTGGGAATTCGAAGTTCCGTTTAAGAAAGAAATGATTATAAATATTCATGGTTTCGTGATTTCTTTCGTTAATGTCCCGTATTTTAATGTAAATAAATGTCATTTATTTACATACAATAAATTTGAGAATTAAATTGTGAATTGTATTAGGTGTTTTGCACCGTAGAACTAGATCAACAGGAAGAACGCTAAGAACTTCGATGTAGGTTAAAAGAGATGCCTAATAAAATTGTCGATACCTATTTAATATTTCACGAAATTTTCGATATTCATTTAATATTTCACCCAAATATTGATTCCTGTCCTACATTATTTCAAGATCACCAATATATTTGTGCTGTGAAAAATGTGGGGCATATTTTTAAGACTGATCAAATATGTTATCGATTTATACACAAACTAATATCGGGAATTAAAGCTCGACGTTTAGAGCACGTTTTATACGTATTTAACTCTTCGCCATAAATAAACGAATATTCTGTAAGTTTCCCTCTGTCCTAAGAAGACAAATATCTTCATTGAATATTTTTTTGAACTCAATAGTTTTATTCGTAAATAATGAAAACAAGTTGCCTAAAAACGACGTGCATTAAATATGAAATCAGTAGAAATTCTATCCACGATAATAGTCCTCACTTCTTTCGTTTAATCGATGAAAAATAATTCCCCTTATTGTGATATCAATTTCACGCTGGAGTATTAAACGAGTATATACCTATATTTCGAAAGCTGTCAGAGTAGGTATTGATACTTTCATAAAGTATGAAACAAGTATCCGTCGGCATCATAATTTGCAAGCTGGTATCGGCAGTATTGATTCGGTATTATTCCGATCACCAGCCATAACCTTTTGCTCCCTCGTCGCTATTTCTTTTTATCTTTTGGCTGTTCAATTCATTTGACAACGTTGGCGAAGATGGAATAGCTACCACTATTCCCGATCGTTTCACTGTACTTATCGAAGCGAGACCGGGCCTGTCCCAACTCTCGTCGATCTCAGGAAAGTGTTCAGCAGTGAAATTTTATATTTCAATTTCATCACGGGCAATGAAACAACTTGAAATTTCGAAAAAATTGAAGCTATTTGATACCGCGGATGGGTAAATATTTGATGGGGCCAACGGCAAAGAGTGATGGCAGCGTGGAATCAACGCTAAAAGCGAAGGAACAAATGGAAAATAAACCAAAGCGAGCATTAGAAGTACTGAATTGGTCGAATATAAGAATTATTTATTTATTCATATTTTATTTTCCCTTTCTTCTTACTTCCTCTCATTCCAAGTCATCTCTACCTAATCTCCAAACCTTCCCATTACTCTCAATTCCATTATTTTTATCCTTCATCCCTTCCTCCTTTTTGTTCGGCCCACCTATTTTTCCCTAACAAACGGTTCTTCCGAAACTTTTACTATTATCACCCGTTTACAATACACAGTTCTAATGTTAGCAGTGCTGTTAATACAACTGGCAACCTTTAAATCGACCGCAACTAAAAGGCAAGCTAAAAACTCGAGGAGAAAAAAGGCGAGCATTGGAAAAGTTGAACGATTTCTGCGTGAATAAGTCGCGTAGAATAAAATTCGCTCGCGGAATCCGTCGACGGGTAAAGAATTCGCGGGAAGAGGGGAAAAACAATGGCGGGACGGCGTTGTCAGTCTGACGTGGACGCAACGCGATAGAGCGGACAACCGGCTGGCAGCGATACTCTTCTGAAACGGCACGGCAACCGTTGCCCGCGAAAAACTTTTCCTCCCCGCATTGTCCCGACCGCGCGGAACCGATCCTGTTTGAATGAGGGGCGTCCTCGATATTTATTAACAGTCGGACGCAGCGAGGTCGTTTCAGCCGGGCGTCGCGCGGCGGCGACACCGAACACGCCGGCCGCGTGAATGCCTGAATAGACAATCGGCTCTTTGTCAGTTACCCAACCGACGGCCACTTTACGATCAAAAGAGGAAAGGGACAAAGGGTCGAAGATTACGAAATCGAATGGGTAAACGGAAGGATGCGCGCGGTGCACGGCGAAAGTGAACGCGTGTCGGCTCGTCAAGGGTGCCAACTGTCTCGCGGTGGGAACGCGGAGGTGCAACCTATTCCGATCGCTATTGTCGCAGGTTGCTGGAGCGCGCATCTTTATGCAAATTCAGATCTTTAACACTTTGCACTCTGAGTTTTTGGTACTTATGTATTATACGAACTACTTTTGTTTTTAGCACTAGGTTTATGGACGTTTGTTGTACAGTTTATTTTGCTGTTCCTAGTTGATGTTACTTCATTTGGATCGTGGAAATTAGAAATTTAAAAGTAGACAATTAACCCATTTGCATCATACGAAAAAGTGGATAATTGGTCCTCACCACTATGAATGTCTCAATTGCATCAAAATAAAAATGGTTCAAAACATATAAAAAAGTATAAACCTATATATGTATCTTTCCTTTTTTTTGTGATATACAAATTACACAATGATGTAGATGCGCTTATGATGCAAATGGGTTAAGATATATATTCCTGCAACTGCATCGATCAACATTGATATGAACATTTAGCAAATAATATTTATAAAATTTAATGTGCGTCAAATTGACGCATTCCATAAACCTAGTGTAAAGAAATAAAATATTAATAATAATAATAAAATATTAATAATGTGTTACAGCATTAAATAAATCTTAACTCTGACCTAAGTCAAATATAATACGTAATAACACGTAAGTACCAAGTTTTTAGTAGAGGTACTCAAGATTTTGTGATGTAATCTAGACGATATTTTTGTAAATTAATTTAATAAGAAATTGTAAGTACATTCAGGAATAGAAGTATTTTATTTTAATGTTTCCTGTATTCATGCACTATATTAAGTTTCATATTAAATATGAATCTTTATAATTTTGCTGTATCAAATCGATTTCTTTTAGTACTATAATTGATACAACTGCTTTGCCAGTAACAATTTACTGGAACGAAGAGAAAAGCTCTAGGTATATATGTACTAGTCTATTTTTGCTCTAAGGTATAATAATTTATAACAGAAGAATAATATTTAATTTGAATTTTAAAGAATCGAGTAATATTTATGTTTGTTACATTGTATCTGAAATCTTTGCTACGAGAAAAATGTTAAGGAATCCATATTTTTCACCGAAAGAAATAATTTCCCCTTTAAACCATGTGTACTACGATATTTTCGTTGACACGTAGAACAATTTTCAATAAAAACAGATAATTTTTGAATTCTTACGCTCACAATGTTATACAATCCATTAGGAATCGATTGATTATCGATTTGATATGGTATCAATGTCCAGTATCGTTTCAAGAATGATCGGTCTCAAAAAATAGATGGACAGGTAAAATTTAGATGCATTACCTTTTATACTGGAATGCTTTGCTGTCAAATTGATTGAATATTATTGATAGTGTCAGTATTGATTCAGTCTTTGGGTATCGTTTAAACGTCTGTCACGCGGAAGGACATCTTTCCGTGTAATTTGAAATTGAAATACGAGAATTTTTGACGTCGGTTGAGCAAGTTTCGTGGATGGCAAATGCACCGCGAAATGTGTCATGCACCGTGTCATTCGCGCCATCGCGCAGTGTGATATTTTAAGAATCTAGGTGGACGTAAATGAAGTTACATTTTTCGACAAGCACTTCTGACTGTTACTTTTATAATGGCCATAACGTTGATAATAAAAACTCACCCAGTTCCTGAACAATATATGCAACTGGGGCATCGGTTATTTTTTTTTTCGTTCATAACGTATTCGTAACCTATTTAGACTCATAATTTATAAGGTGAAAGTCGATGGATAAATAATTCAAGTACACTACTGAACACGAAGCAACAGAAAAATAAAGTAGACGTAACAATCTTTCAAAAATGTTCTCCTTTACGATCTCATTAGTCTGTGTCTTTAAATTTAAGTGAAAGACACGTTAGTATTATATAAAACAAAATGTATCTAAAGTGAGTTTAAAATGGATTTATATGGATACAAAAATGGCGGTAAAGTTACATGTGGATTATCACAAAGATTCCATGATTTAATATATCAAGGGGATAAGAATATTTGTCAATGTAACATATTAATGAATTAAAAGAGCTAACAATTAAGAATATACAACGTGCAACTATAATAAAAACGGGGTCATTCTCTTAATACACGTTTTCGCTAGACTACTTCCGGTAAAGCGTTAAGTTCCCGCGTAGACGCGTTTTTTTACAAGAACGAATTCACTAAAAAAAGTAAATTCAACGTTACATTAAAATTTCAACTGAAATTAGCGGCAATTTAGTGGAATCATGCTAATGTTTCGAAACATCCAATCTTAAATGACCACCCGCTAGCGTGTTGGGAACGATGGTTAAATGCATATACGTGACTGCAACTAGATTGTTCAAAACCGCGAGAACTTTCGCGCTCGCCTAACATTTGACCCATTCGTTTGTCAAAGTGATTAACTTCACAAAATGAAAACTAGAAAAACGTGATTAAATGACACACACACAAAGAACCAATTTAACATTTTAACGCGAATGTACAGAAACATGAAAAATGGAAACAATCCTTGGAGTTTATGATACCTGAACAAAAAGAAATATCTTTTATCTTAATGTTACAAATAAATAAAAAGATATATAATAAATTAAAGGAAAATACATTTAATTTTAACAGTACAAAATACATATATGATTAAAAATAAAAGAAACACTCAATAATATTTGAAGAAAGGAAGTAATAAGCAAATAAAAAAGAATACATCTTGTTTAATCAGTATAATAATATTAATCAACTGGAAGCTGCTATCCAATAATGTCATCTCAAGTTTCCAAAAATTAGTCGTTTTACAGCAACGGAATTCACAAATTATCATCACGCTGGTCATTAGTAACGATGAAAAATACATTGTTAAGTAAGTACTAATAAATATATTCAAACCATATCATTTTATTTTCATTAAAAAACGAACGTAACTTTCCGTTAAACCTAACACAAATATTCAACGTGAAATAAATCCGCAAAAATATTCAGAAAACGTAGGAAACGATACACAAAAGTGTTTAAAAAAAAAGAAAGAGATGACGTTCTTCAACGCGACTTTCCGTGGGTTGAGAAGGGGTGGGAACGCGAGACTGTAGGAGAGTGGGACACGTTTAAGTGTCCGCGATACACGGAACGCGTTACGGGGCGGTTTTCGCCGTAAAATTACGGGGCGTCGATACGCGCGGTTCGGCGAAGGTAACCGGGAGGGGGTCCGCGGGTTTCCGTCGTGTATCTGCAGTACACGAGGGCTCGGTCACGTGGCCTCACCCCCAAGAATCTCTGTGATCGAGCAATTAAGCGCACGCTTCCATGAAGAAGAAACCGGTCGCGGCGTGCCGCGCGCGTACATGACGGTGAAAAGAAGAAACAAGAATAACAAAAAATCGATCGTCAGAATTGGCAGACCGTTAAAACGTACCCTGCCAGCGATTCACTAAAAATACCCGTGATGGGCAAGGGAACCGTGGCTAACGCGTACAGTTTGCGCCAGAAGTATACGCCTTGGCATGTATATTTAAAGCTGTTCCAAGATCCTTTGGACGAAGGAGAAAGGATTCATTTTTTGATCGTCGAACGAAGATTCGTAATATTCGTCGATGATGAATGTTTGTTTACAAGAAGCGTCTCTAAACGTGTTTGTTTGAATTTTGAGCGAACTTCGTGTAGCTTGAAAAGTGGATTTATAGAGCATAATAAAATCAACAGTTTTAAGTGTTAACTAATCCTTTGTTTTATGGTTAGTCGAGTGAGAGCTTTAAATTAGAGGATATAGTTCTGTTCAGATGCTCGCGAATGGGGAAAATAAAAATTTCCATGAAGAATAATCGCGTTTGGTCTAATGGCAAGAAGTGTTAGTTAAAGGTAGCGAAGAGAACGTTTCACGTATAAATGAACAATATTCACTAGAATTTGATGAAATATCACAAGTTGCCTAACCAAATAAACGAATTATTCTCCAATTCTCGCAATTTAATTGTCTTCAACGCAAACAGTACGAACTGATTATAACCCAACTTGATACAATACCAATCATCATCTTAACTTACGAATTCTACTAAACAGTATACCAATTCTAACTTTCAGCCATTTACAACAATAAACCATCCATAATCATTTGCAAATCTACGAAAAGTCTCCTAAACCAAGATCAACTATTCCTGCCAATCATACCCATTACACCTAAATCTCCAGCGCATTCCAAGAATGACATCCCGCTAACAATCACCGATCGACCATTCACGAGTTGTACACGGATCGTACGACGCGATCCCATGCGGCATGGCAGAGAGCAACTGAGAAGCTGAAAATTCCGTGCACAGCTCGCGAAGATCAACCAAACGAGAAACAACATTCCGTGTCTGTACCCCGAAGGGTGTCCCGTCGAACGTCACTCGAGCCAGTCTCAAGTAGTCCGCCGCCGTTCCCTCCACCCAGCGTGGATCGTGGGCGACTCGCGCGCGCCGTGCCCCGTCCACTCGTCACATGGTGTCCCCGGAGCGCGAGGATCGGGAGGATATCACCTCTCCCTCGAGAGAGCGGAGAGGGATGATCCGGCGTGCCGCGAGCAGCCACGCGTTTTTCCGGCGCGAGGACTGCCGATCCCGCGTCAGCGTTTCCTAAAGGAAAAGTTTGCACACGAAGGGATAGACGGCAGCTTCCAGAAGTGATGGATCGAGGGACCGACAGAACCTCGTGGCCGATCGCAAATCGATCTTCTGTGGGGGCGCAGCCACTCGATGACTCACCTCGAACCTGTGTCTCTCTCGCCCCGTTTCACTGACTATCGCCCTTTCCCTCGCTCACCCTTCCACGTCCCCTTGTCCGTCACCCTTTCCCTCGCTGTCCGTTACTCACCTGTGCTGCTGCTGGAACTTCCACAGCTTCGTATAGATGTCAAAGGTGCGCCCGAAGTATCCCTGCCACTGCTTGTGCCCGTACTGTGGTAGGTCCCGTAGTCCGTTGAACAGCTGCTTGCTCTTCTCGAGCAGGTGGCAGAACTCGAGGACGACTTTTCGCTCGTGGTCGTCCATGCCGGCCATCATGACCATCTTTTCGGTGTATCAGGATCGCGGCCACTGGCTGGACGACGGCCCTTCCACAGACGACGGTCGCGGTGGCCCCGCGTGATGGCGCCTGCCGATTCCGCCACCCTCTCTTTGCGCTCTGTGGCGGCCGCGCGACGACGCCGACGACGAACGCGCCGCGGCCCGCGACCACCCAATCAATACCCGGCCGTCCCGCATCAGGGGGCGCACCGTGCGCGACGCCCGACCGCCGACCACCACGACGTCGACGCCGACGCGCCGCGCCGCAACGTCGACAGAGGACATCTGAGAGACAAGGGGGTGGACTGCCAAACCCGCTGGGGCTACGATCGATGCTTCCACGTTGGATGGTAAACGGAGGGTTTGTTCGAGGCTGGCTGGTTATCGAAGGTTGGTTTGCTGGGGTGGTTAGCGTTTAATGGTAAAGAGGGTATGAGGCCGCCACTGAGATTTGTGAGTTAGGAAAGA